AGAACTAGCACGTGTGAGGGTCGTAAGTTTTGTTTCCATGCGAGCCCAACACAGCCCCCGATTTCATAATTAGGATGAACGCTTAATTTATGCTCTGGGTAAAAAGAAATATCCACAAAGGATCCCTCCTGCACTCACTGGCTTCCCTGAGGTCAGGAGTCTGCCTCCCCTGCATGACTGCTACATCGCTGACCCCAGAGCAGTGGGGACCTGCCCAGGTCCACAGTGCCCAATAAAGAACCGAGGGACCACAGAAGGGAGGCTAAAAGCTGGGGAAATCAGATCAGGGCTTACAGCTCACAATCTGTGCAGCTGCTTGAGCAGGTCAAAGGACTGGACCTTCCAGGGGACCCGAAGAACTTGATTCCCAAGATATTACACATCAGAGTGGGGGCAACCCGAGGCCAGAGCTGGCCCACAGGATTCCAGATGGGAAGACTGGTGAAAGCCCTGATCTTGTAATTAGTAGACTCGCTGCGCCTTGCGATGCAGCTGAACCCCCACCACTAGGCAAATTCAAGCTAACAGGAAAGTTTCATTTTGAACAGTGTGCATAGTTAATAATCATTAAAAGACCAGACCTTGGGAAGAGGCAGATTTTCCATCTATTAGTGTCTGGCAATCAAGACTGGATATCTTTCTAGAACCATAAACTCATGGGGTGGAAGGAATCTCAAGACCCATCTACTTCAGTTTCCTTCACAAACGCAAAATGTGCTATTCCTAAATCATCCTAGACACATCCGTCAATACAAGGAAGACAGTCTTCCAGTAATAGTGTTAGCATGATGTTGTAGCTGTGATGGTCCTGTAATTATGTGAAAGAAAAGGATTTTGGGGGGTGATATCTTTTATTGGGCCAACTGGATAGTTGGGATAAAGTTAGACGAGCTTTTGAATACAAACTATTCTTCAGATCTGAGAAGGAAAGCAAGCACAGAAATTTGTAAGAACAGTGGGTAGCGCTGTCAAATTAGAGGGGGAGGAACTCCCAGGGGTAGCAGACACTTAGCAAAAGAAAAGCAGCTTGATTACTGAGAGATCAAGACCTTTGGAAGGGAAGTAGGGTCATGATCACCTGTACTGTGGGGGAAGAATTTCAGGAAGCAGGCAGATCACAGCGTGTCAGAAAATCACTGTCAATGTTCAGTCCGTGGTTCCCAGCGTCCAGCCAGCTTATGAATGGTTCTTCCCAATGTTTGGGAATGTTTGGCAGATTTCCCTTAAACATGAGGACAGTGAGGTCAGGAAGGAAGTGGCTGTTCTGTGAAAACAAAAATACATCCGATGATGTGTGTGTCTCGCTGTCCTTTATATTTTTTCTCTGAGAGTCCAGTCTGATGTGCAGCTGTTGTTTAGCTGCATCCACGTATGCACCACAAGGGCATCTGGTGCATTGGAACAGGCATATCATATTTTGTGAAAGGCATGCGTAGGATCCAGAGATTCGGATGGGTTCTTTTGGGGGCTGTTAATTGTAGTACCAGTCTCCAGAATCCTTGTTTCATCACCTGCATCCAGGGTCAGGGTGCATGCACTGATGACTATCACGTTGTCTGTTGGTCAGTTGAAGACGAAGGGGCATGGGATGCTTGCTGATGCCAACTGGACATTCTGGCATCTGAGTAACAATCTTAGTCTTGATAGCAAAACTAGTGCCATGGATGTGTCTGGCTCTTTCGGCTTTTCCTTTCCAAACAAAGGTGCAGCCACCACCATGCTCTGAACTGCCCTTCTCCTGTGTGTCTAGTCCCACTAAGTGCAGCAACATCAGCATCAAACTGTGCAAGTTCTCTGCCCGTGAGAGCTGTTCTTCCCTCCGGCCAGTCACCTTTAGGGTTATCCACTGGGTGAGGATATTTCAGGTTGCAAACTTCATTACACAATCTGGACTTCAGGTAGAGCAGGGGTGGGCAAAATGCAGCCTGGGGGCCGGCTGCGGCCCACCAGGCCATTCTCTCCAGCCCGCGGGGCCCCTCAAAAATTTAGAAAATTAATATTTATCTTCCCCTGGCTGCCTGTCATGTGGCCCTCTATGGCTTGCCAAAACTCAGTAAGAGGCCCTCCGCCCAAATAATCACCCGCCCCTGAGGTAGAGTGATCCCACTGGATGCAGGTTTTCCAGTCCGGTGAAATGAGAAAGACTATGTTTAGGGCACCTTTTCTAACCCCCTCCTGTAAGGGGTGAGCAGAATAGGCCCAAACAGGCCTGCTCTGTCAGGGTCGCAGCTGCTGAATCGCATACCTGTTCCGAGTACAACACAACCATCATACCATCATCGCCTCCACGTAGGTCCGTAACTAGCAGCTTCCAGCAACCACTAGCACCTGCCCGTCACCAGTCACTCGTTGCCAGAGGGCTTCTTGTTGAAGGAAGACACCTACACATGTCTTCTTTTAAAGCGGGGATTCCCTTCGCAGAAAGAAAACCTTAATCCAACAGCAAAGAAAACCCAGATGACCAGAGATTTCTATTGCACTGGAGCCTCCATCCCCTTCTGCAGCCATCGTGGGCTATTCTTCCTTCATCTACTTGCTCCACCACTGAGGATTTTCTTATAATTTTTGGATCACTATTACTCTGGAAATCTTGCTCTTGTCCTTGCTGCCATGGGTGACCCTGCCAGAAGTACAAAGCTCCAGAGAGCAGGGCTCTCGAGGTCCCCGGTAGCACACAAGCCACTCTACCATGTGATGGTTGCGATCCTTGGGAGGACATGTCAGTATAGCCTCCTCTTAAAAACCTCCCGTGAAGAAACTTTCCTTGGCAGCCCGCTTCACTGGTATTAAGAGAAGTGGGGGGAGTGTTTGTTTTTTGTTGGTGTGCCCCCCACCCCAGACGTAACACGAATCTGCTTTGCTGCAGTTTAAACCCACTGCTGCAGTCCTGCTCCTGCCCTCTGCGGGAAGGGAGAACAGTTCTCCCTCCTCTTTACAGCAGCCTTTCAAATATTTGAAAACCGCCAGGATGTCGCCCCTGAACCTCTCTCTCACCAAACTAAACATACCCAGGTCTTTCAGCCCTTCCTCACACAGTTTCTTTCCAACCCCCTTACCATCCTTGTTGCTGGCATGAATTAGTGCAGCTCTGCTTGCACTTAGGTCTTTCCTAGTACTTTGCACGTGTTTTGCATTTCGGCACTATTCAGCTCCCCAAGGAGCAGGTGTGTGGCCCCTCTTCTACAGATGGAGAGCCGGAACCAGAGGGCTGAAGTGACTGCACATCACGGGACAAGTGCCTCACTGGTCGTTGCACACACTAATGTGCAATTCTCACGTGTTGGTGCGGGGACACTGGTTTGCAGTAATTAGAAACAAGATGTTCTTCAGGACTGAGCTACATGAAAGTGGGAAATGACCTAGACTGAGAAGTGTAGATGACCTAAATATACGAGATAAGGAAGGGAAAGGCTGCCGAGTTGCGTGTGGCCAAGCAGCCGTGATCACACCTCCAACAAGGGCAGCGACTTTCAGAGCTGGTGCCCGAGGAGATATTTGCAGGTTTAGTTCTAGTCAGGTTGAAACAAAACTATGAAATCCAGATTTGAAGGACAGGATGCAGAGACTCTGGAAACTGGTCTTCCTGCCTGAGGCTCTTGGGACCCGGGGAGCTTGCAAGTGCCTTTTCAAGAGGAAGATAAGGTGGCGTGTGATGCAGCCAGGCAAAGCCCCGTCTGGCAAGGACAAAAGTCACCGTTTCTTGGGTATCACAGTCGAAGCGATCATGTCCCGCGCACACCCGTAACCCGCGGCTTGCAGCAGGCCGAGGGGCTGCAGGGTTTGTTGGGGCCACAAACACAGGGCAGTGGATCCGAGCGTTTGTAACGAGGTCCCTGCCCTGTGCCAGCCCGCCGG